AGGGATCTAAAGTAGCAGGACAGGGATGTTGGATCCTGCGACCACCTGGGACAGATGAGGGAACGTCGGGAACCGGCATATTCATAGGCGGTTTGAAACCCGGTTACCCTTCTCACACATTGTCTTGCAGAACTCGAGGCGGAAAAAGACAGAGACGAACAAGAGGCGTCGGCCGCCAGACAGAAGCAGGAGATCCACGTTGCGTCTTGCAGAGCCACTGCGAAGGAAGCGAAAATGCAGCACAACAGGCTAAAGAAGGTGAGCAACGTATCCTCATTTCATACGAGTCGGACATGCCGATGTAGGGAAAATGCTGGCTGTTTTGGTATCCCCATACACCTGAGTCATGTTCTTGCGTTTATTGGTGCGTTTATTTCCGTTTCTGCGTGAAGGTTACGGATGCTGCCGACGACCAAGCATTGAGAGAGCATGGCACGGCAGCGGACGACCATGCGGCCACGGGTGCCAACGAGGAATTGAATACGCGGAGAGCTGCGGCGGCCATAGCATGGTGGGAGTACGAGAAGGCTGAGAAACGGCTAGAGAAGGTGGGCATCGAAGCGCGCGTGCGTGGTCACGTTTTCAGTCCTGGACGGCAGTCATACATTTTGGGTACGTCCTAACCCACCAACAAGAGTCGCCCAACATGCTATGTTTTTATACCTCCAATCTTCCTGCTGCAATGCATAAGGGTTTCACTTCGACGTGAGTGTCAAGTTGTTTTTCGAGTTCGTTGTGGTCCACGTCTGCGGGCATTTTAAGCAACGGCATACCTTTTGTATAATGGGCAAGTGAATCTTGATAAAGGGCAAGCTTAAGCTGTAAAAGTGAAGGCTAAGAGAAATCGAGTCTTATGTGGCGATTCAAAGTCCTTTATTAAGTACCCGAAACCGGCTGATCTAAGCTTGAGCAGGCTGATATCGTAGTGGCAACACTCTTTGGAAGGCCGAACCCGTGTATGTGGCAAAATACTGGGATGACTTGAGTTTAGGGGTGAAAGGCCAATCAAAGTCGGTGATAGCTGGATTTCTGCGAAATCTATTGAAGTAGAGCGTCTTGTTAAAGAAAATCTGGGGTAGAGCACTGTGTAAGTAAAGGGGAGATTATCTCTTACTGAACTTTTGCAAACTCCGAATACAGATTTATTCATTCAGGGCAGACAGAGTATGTATGCAAAGATTCACGTGAGAAGCATCCAACCTCCTGTGGCTACGCTGAGTTTACATGTCAAAGGAAGTGGAGCAGGGTACGAGGTAGTCGGGTAAGTGATGTTGACGCCCGGTGTGAAGCAGTGTAATATGCGCTTTAGGTACGGGAGGTTTCCTGTTGCACTCTAACGTGCCCGTGAGCATGTTCGCTTGGGCAGACGTTACTGGTGACGCCGACCACGTTTGACGACACAGTGTTACTATCTGTAGCGTTCGCCACAACGCCGCTGCGGCAGATGTTGCACACTGCCGGGGGCAGCGGATACTCGGACGACAGCGGCGACGAGGGCACCGACTATCGCTCGGACGCGATATACGGATGGGAGAGTGAAAATGACCTTTCGTGCGACGAGCGCGAGGAACGCAAGCTGACATAGAGAGTTGAGACCTTGCAAATTTCAGCAATCTTCCACTTTAAATTATTGCGCTGCCACCGGTCTTGAACATGCGCATACCCCTACCATTAAATGGCGCCGCGTGGCCTGCAGCACACTTGCCGCGTATGTGCACTGTTTTGACCCCACCACGTAGCCGATAGTAGGACGAACGAGAGCGACAAAACGCATGGCCCGGGCCTGCTGGATTTTGAGTACGCGGCCGACGAGGACAATGTGCGCCCCGCCCCTGTCTTAAGAGTCTTGCCGGATCGGGACGATACGTGGGCTAATGTTTCGAAGGACGTCCGAACTGTACTAGCCCAACGTGGGCAGATCGGCAAAAAAAATGTTAAGAAAGGCAAGAGAGTGAGTCCGGTCAAATGCCCGAGAACCATGCCGATTTTACTAATTCGTGTGTATTGTATTGCTGTATGTTCCGGTGTTTTTGCCTCAGTGTTTCCCGTGGTGCCTCGCGCAGGGATTGTTTTCCGACGAGCAGACTGCCCCATAAGAATGGGCATTGGAGCACTACGTCGAAATATGTGGGGGGAAGGCACCCAGAGGTGAGGTGTCAACGTTCCACAACTTGTTATGAACGTATCCTCATTCATTCGACCCCCCCAACAACCGCCCGGGCCGACAACCCCACATCAGTTCATGCGCGAGGAAAAATTGCTAAGGCGCTCTCAAGGACAAGGCCAAACGCTTTTTTCGACTCCTTCACGCTGCTGCGTTCGCCGTGTCGGAAAACGTGGGTGTCAGGTGATCAATTACGAGCGTTGATGAGATAATTGACGGCGTGATCGTGTACTTTGGCCGCTGCCCTCTTCCTGTTACTGGTGCCAATGTGTTTCGCTGTGACCCGACCCTCCCGTCAACCCTTCCGTCTGCCTCATATCTTGCCACACAGGACTGTGAAGGAGGATGGAAGCAGATAAAGGAGCTTGCACAAGGATCCTCGTGCGAAAAGCATGTCAAAGGCTACATGTACGAGTGAGTGGTGTGGCGGTTGGCTGAGCAATTCTTCTTCTCCGTGTCGTGCATTCGCGGACAAATGGCGTGGAGTAGAGTAACCTGCCGTGGGTGTGAACCTGGCAGACGTGCTAGATAACTGCTCCCGTAGGTTGTCCGGTACGTTCGGCGGGCATAACTACGTTTATTGTGCGAGTGTTCATCGAGCAACCCGATGCGTATCATGTCTTACACCAGGCATCGGAAATACTGGTCGCGCTGCCATCATCCGACTTCGCTGACGCTGAACATGACAGCCTCTCAGAGGATGGACGGGGTCTTCGCCGTGCTCAAGCGGGGTCGCATAGTAAATCGCCGCGCCACCCTGGTTTGGGTTAAAGAGGAGCTCGAGAGGCGGATAGCAGGGTTCCGCCCGGCATCTCGCTTGTGAGTTCCGCTGCGGGGCCTCGTCAACGTGTGTCATCTTGTTCGTATTTAGCATATAGTCTTTCTTAACCAGACGTCATTCCGGTCATTCCACGCCGGGTAACTGGTGTTTGTATTTTCGTTTTCAACCCTCTTGATGGAATGTGTGACTTTCTTTTGCATGCAAAGAGGTACAACATGTGACTTCGTTGTTGCCCGACCCTTATCTCTTCCTACATATCTTCACTCTTTCTCCAACGATCGTACAGGCTCAGCTCCAAGGAAACCGACCTCGGAAGAACCCGTGTTGACGATCACGTGCTCGATGCCGTTCAGCCTGTCCTGGACAAGCTACGCGAAGTCGAAGCCAGCAATTGCGCAAGTGTCTTGGGAGATTTGGGAAGAGTGGGGGTAATAGGTGTGGGAGGAGACAGCTGGGAGGGTAGGTTGCCATTCGACGGCCTAAATGTACATGGTAGACGAGTGGGTAACAATCAATGGAGGCAGGTGCCATGTCCGTTTTTCGCTGATAGCGCTGGGTGTACCTTTGATCCCGTGAAAGTCTGGCTTCTTGGGGCGGGAAATATTTCCTGGTGGTCTACCAGGAATTATATATATATATATCACGATTCGGCTAATGAGTCCCACATCTTGATTAATGAATGCATCCGCTTCATATGGGGTTAGATTTTTTTTTTTTTATCTTTTTTTGGCCTCTCTCGCCCAATACTCCATATCACGACTTGAAACCACGCAAGTGCGTTCATCACGTGCACTTTATGATTCCTACCAAAGGAATGACGCCTTGCTCATTATGACACCGACTTTGAGACCTTCGCCAAAGTAGACCTCAGCCGCTGTGTGCTTCCCAACATCCACGTACACGTTCTGCATGCATCGACGCGCATGGACGTGACATTACACAACACAAACATCTGCCACCCTTTATGCATTCATCAAACGTCGTCACATCATGACAAGTAGTTACAATTGGCCATGCCCGCTGCCGCATACGGGCAAATATACGGATTTCCTGCGCACAACCTCGCCAATAAAAGTAGACCTCAGCCGCTGTGTGCTTCCCAACATCCACGTACACGTTCTGCATGCATCGACGCGCATGGACGTGACATTACACAACACAAACATCGCCACCCTTTATGCATTCATCAAACGTCGTCACATCATGACAAGTAGTTACAATTGGCCATGCTCACTGCAGATTTACAGCATTCAGATGCCCCATGCCCGCTGCCGCATACGGGCAAATTACGGATTTCCTGCGCACAACCTCGCCAATAAAATTTCCGCCGCATATTTTGTTTACCCGCATCTACAGTACGCATCTACGCATCTACGCATCTACGTATCTACATTTCCGCCGCAATCATATACGCGGCACACACACACACCTCCACTGCCGTTTCCGATGCCGTCAACACGACAATACTCGAGAGCTCAACAGAACCGACGCAACGAACAACAACGACTTCGACGCGCGAGGAGGAACGAAACATTCAATTGTCGCAGAAATTCACGTGATGGAAGCAGTCGCGGGGGACAAATTAATGAGCAACATGTCAGACACGACAACGCCCGTCCTAGATCAACATACGTGCGTAGTCCTAACATGTCCACCACCATCTCCCAGTTCTGGGAACTACCTTTGCTTCGTCCAGAGTGCAACGAAGAACAGAGAGCATTTACGTTGGATGCACGGAACGACATCATCAACACCGCACAACGGGCTGCCAACATCATCGTTGATATTGCTTCCCCATGCCAACACTGCGGTGCTCAGTTGTTCAAAGGTGAGTTTTCCAACTTTGCTATATTCCGGCATATATCCATGAAACTGTCAAATTCAATCTCCCCTCACGCCGATCATTTACACTCGTCTGTTCTTATAAGCCACAGCCTACAACTATAGTTAATGACATGCCAACCACCTGTACTTCTACAGGTGAATCTCGTGGCATTTGCTGCAGTAACGGACAATTGGTCTTGACACCCCTACCACGGTCCGCCTAGAACTACCATGGCTTCGCGAATGACGTTGCGCAAGAAGAAGCCCGTCAACGCTGAAAGTACACAGGTGACTATCCGTAGATATTGCTATTCTTCCGCGCGCCATCACACACATTCACCTCACCTCAATCTGTGGCTGCCTAACCCTCGCGTTCGGAACCTTCCTACACCTCCTAAATCTTGCCTCTCCTTGCACATCCTATATGTGCCGTGTATCCACAACGATGACGAGTCCATTGTGCTTGCTGGACGCACATCATCTATCGTCATGCCCCTTTCTATCACAATCTTCGCTGCCGTCCTCAACACTTACTTTCTCGACCTCGCCGAATGTGTACCCTTTCCCTTTATTTTCAGGGTCTCCGCATTCCGTTGACTGTGCAAAACACCCACACATTCCATCGTCCCCGAACACACTTCGCCGTCCCTGCGCTTTCAAACATGTACATTCTTCCGCCCACTCCACTGTTACGAACGTTATGCTGCGCAGACAATCATGTCCAGCACAGGTGCTACACCGACGCGCGCTCCATCAACTAAGGTACTTAAACCTTCTCTAATTGTACTTTTCCTCATCATTTCGCGATTATTGCTCCTGACGCCTTCGCAACCTAATGCTTAAACGATCTTTCGCTACGTCGCTATTGGCTTACTTCCTCAAATGGTGTGTACACAACTCTATGTCAACTATTCATTTCCAACAACACCTTCCACATTCGTTCGCAATATTCAGGCCAAGCCGGCATCTAAGCCAGGAAAGAAGAAATCAACTCTCGCCCTTGAGCCCTCCAACAACGATCAGGTGAATCTGACTTCACTCCTTTCCTGCACAACAATATCCCCCTGCTCATCATATGTCACAGTCGCTCCATTTCAACCTGACTTTCTCATTATCGCATGCGCAAAATCACACACTAAAGCCTTGTTTTTACTGATTTCTTCCTCTTCCTCGATCCTGTACCATACCATCCCTTCAGGACGAGGACGACGAGGACAACCACGAAGAGGACGACGACGACGCTCTCACCACATCCACCAAAAAGCGTACAACCAAGGTGTTCATTTTCTGTTGTTTTGTCACATAAAGCGCCCGACTAATTTCACTTTATCTCTCCTGACTGCGCACACAATCAAGTCCAACACGAATGCCACGATCACGCGCGCTCCATCCTCCATCTACTAAAGTACTCAAACCTATCGCTCCTGACTGCGCACACAACCAAGTTCAACACGAATGCCACGCTGACGCGCGCTCCATTTACTAAATACTCAAACCTACTGCAAATTTACTCTCCCTCATCATTACGCGACTACTGCTCCTGACACCATGACAAACCTGCTTCTTAAACCATCTTTCGCTACATCGCTAATGGTTTCCTTCCCCGTATGTGTACACACGACTCCATGCCATACTATTCATTTTCAAGTTTCCCATCCACATTCGTTCACACTATTCAGATCAAGCCGGCGTCTAACCGAGGAAACAAGAAATCAACTCAAGCCCTTCAGCCCTCCAACAACGATCAGGTGAACCTAACTTTACTTGTTTAATGCAATGCAAATTCCCCCTGATCATCATATGTCACTGTCGCTTCATCTCTACCTCACCGTCTCATTGTCGTCTGCATTGAATCACTCACTGAATCACTGTTTTCAATTATATCTTCCTCTTCCTCGATCCTGTACGATACCACTTATTACAGGACGAGGACGACGAGGACGACAACGACGCCCTCACCACATCCAAAAAACGTCGTACAACGAAGGTGATCTTTTTCTGCTGTTTTCTCAACATATTGCCCCCCACCCATTTCACTTTATCGCTCCTAGCGCCTTTCATAATACTTCGTTTAAACGACCTCTCGCTACACTTCAACTAGAGTCCTTCCCGAATAGTGTACACGACTCTATGTGACACTATTCCATCCTTTCCCTTTCCACACTCGTTCCCGACGACAACGACGACGCGCACAACACACTCGAAAAGAGGCGTGCAACCAAGGTCAACATTTCCTGTTATCTTCTCAATATAAGCGCTGAACACATTTCCCTTTATCGCTCTCCGTCCGCGTCGCTAGCACCATTTCTAGCAATTTCTACACAACTGTCGCTGCACCAAATGTTTAACAGCAACACAATACGTTCATCGCGTGCATTTTGTAGCTTTTCCCTTGCTGTATTGTCCTTCCCTGCCATTACTTCCCACCATTTCCCTCTATCGTTCGCTCGTTATTACACAACATAATAACAGCCCCCTATTAACCCATTTTGAATCCTCACCTACTCTTTTCAAATCGCATCACTTCTTTCTACTCTCTCATTTTTGTCGCCACCTCGGATCCCTTCCTCTTCAGGGCAAGCACAAGCGCACGTCCTCCGCCTCTAAACAAGACAAGCGTGACAAGTCCAAGGTACGCCTCGCGTCCGCAACCCACGTCCTCGTGCATATCCCGTCGCGTGCATCCCTTCAATTCACACTGATATGTTTACCACCGATCATCCTGACCAGGCTAAGTCGAAATCCGTGTCCGCATCCAAGGAAGACAAGCGCCAGAAATTCAAAGTGCGCTTTTATACGACAAGCCCCTATTACATTCAATGACCTCCCATCTATTGTTGCGTCCGTATCTACTAGCTGCGAATGAAGTACCCTTCTAATGGCTGTGTTTGCCTATTTTGCCATCGCCGCATTTTAAACAAACATTATCTATTAACGCTTTTGCCTTCAATCAATTGTCCATAACTACCTACTAACCCTTCCGTCCATTGACTTTCTTACCCTCCCCATCTGCTTCAGGCTGAAAAGGCGCGCCGCGACCTCCTCGTTTCTGCTCTCTCCTTCGAGTCTACGAAAACGTCCTCCTTCGTCCTTCCGACGACCATCTACGCCGACACCCTCGCGTCCAAAGACTTCAAAACCATCGAGTATCTCATGGCCAGCACCACACACAACGACACATACCCCACCATCATCAGCATCGACTCCGTCAACAGCGTCATCAGGTTGGTGTGCAACATCAACGGCTGCCGCTTCACTGTCGATCCGACTCTCCCGATTCCGCAGTGTCGGAAGACCAAGAACTCAGCGCCCACGAAGGGCCACGAACAACGCGGCAAGAACCAACTCTCCACGTTCTCCTTCTTCACCGTCGCCGACAAATTTCAAACCGTCGACAACCACCCCCTGGCCAACAAGAACCGTGTCAATACTACCGTGTCCTTCTCCACCGAGGTGCGTTTCCTTCCCTACGATACTCATTCCATACGTTCTTTTGCGATCATGTTCATCACTTCCATCGCAGTACAACATGCACTTACACATTGCATCCACCCGTCATCTTCCTCGCCGCCATAATCACTTCCCCTCAATCAGGTTCTCAACGAGGTGTTTCGGATGGACGCTGAATCGTATGTCCTCAAAGACAACAAAACCAAGAAGAAGATCGTCAAACACCTCACCAACCGCGTCTTCCTGTGCGCCATGAAGCGCGGACTATGGACTCAACAGAACACCGTCTCGCTTTCCGCCCTAGCGCTCAAGCCCGTCTCGACCAACGACATCATCCACGGCCACAAGTTCGTCAACGGCGCCTTCGTCGACATCCGCAAACCCATCAAACAAGAACCCATGGATGAGATCGGCTCCTCAGCGGCCAAAGCGTCCACTAACACCAAGCGCAAGCGCAAGGGTAACGGTAAGTCCAAGGACAAAGCCGTCCACCACGACAGCGACGACGACGAGGAACCTTCGTCTGCACCCGAGCCTGACATCATATCCATCGACGACAACAGCGACGAGGAACACCCGACTTCTTCATCATCCAGCGAGGGCGAAGCTTCGTCATCCGGCGAGGAAGAAGCTTCGTCGTCCAGCGACGACACGTCTTCCGATGAAGAAGATTGATTCTTCTTTAGCCGCCCGACGGCGGGGGGTTGGACACAGCATCAGGATTTGGACGTCACTCGCCCGGCGGTGGCCCGTACGTTTTCGTTGCATACCTACGTAGGTGCTTCGTATGTACTCCTTATTGTAGAGTCGGTACTTGCCGAGGTGCGTATATGAGTGCGCGCGTTTTCCTTGTAAGTTTTTTTCGCTTTCTTTCGCTGTAGCATAGCAATCGGGATTTTCTGCTTTTTGCCCTTCCATCTTCAGGGCTTTTCCGATTCTTTCTTGCACGATTGCGATTTTGTTTTCGAAGTTATCACGACATCATCTTCGTCACTTTCTTTCTACACCGGGTAACACCGTTTTCTTGCTCTTTTCACCATTGATTCTTATCAAGGAGCGCATTACACTCACCACCAATACTCCGTTGCAGAAACAAAAGTGCGGCGTCACCGATGACTCTTTCCGAGTCATTCATCCGCCTGCCCATCCTGCATACTTTCCAATGATCTTTTCATTAAATGATGGGGATTACACATTCATCGCCCCTCATAAGTCACTGCGCTTCAATTGCAGTCGTGAACAAAGTCGCGGGATGTATCATCATTGCCACATCCTCCTTTAATAGACATAACCTGCATCCTCCTTTCTATTTCCCGCACTTCACATCCACAAATCATTCATTGACCTTCTTCGTGCGTATATCCGGGTGGCCGTCCCGCCGCCTACGGCGGGCGGCCACCTTACCCTAGTAACTCCCAATTGATGGTAGTGCCGGCAGCAGCTTCTGCACGATGCGGGAGTACGGATAGAGGCACATGGATATTGATGGATGCAGATAGCATGAAATAAAGGGTGGTCGATCCACATCGACTTGTTGCATTGCGAGTTCAGCGGCGACTCTCACGATTATGTCGCTCACGGGTCACGCGTCACGTACGTCACGTATCGTTGGCGCGAGATTCTGGTACCTATTGGTACACTACAGTACAGTAGACACGATAAAAGCACGGTTGGCCCAAACAGCACCCGAAGCACAATTAATTTACGTTCTCGCTTCTCGGTTGAACGAGTCCAACGTTACAGCAGTACCCTGTTGACGACGAAACAAGCAACGAAGGAACGCAACCTCTTTGTTGTAGTCTACAACAAAGGAACGCAAACCTCTTTGTTGTTGTGTGTATAGTCTACATGTGCATGACATGACGTAGTATGTGCAGTATAGTTACATATAGACTATGGATACAAACAAACGACGTAGTAGTAGACTACAAAAAATGTTATTGGAAGTACTGTAGACTATTGTAATGGATCTTGACTGATGTACTGCTGTAGTCGCGCCCACCGGAAACTCTACCATTCGCTCCAGGCGAAGCGCGTGGAAGCTTCAACCACCCATGGTCTTCCACATACGCGTGAAGCTTGTTCGTGCGCAGTCACGAAACTATCCCCTCCTAATTTGCTCTGTCTGTGTGCTGTCTGTGTGTTCGAACTGCAACAACATGTTCTCCGCTGAATCTGTTTGTACAGCACCTACATCTTCCGCAGCGGGACTCCCGATCAGCAAGCAGCATGGCCTTGCCCTCGGGAACAGTCCTACTGCTATCCACCAAAGGCTCCCTACCTACTTGAGGTCTCAAAACACAGCGAAGTGGTTGTATCTTCCATAGGCTCTTCACCTACTTGAGGTCTCAAAGGCCCTAAAACACAGCGAAGTGGTTGTCTGGTGCACGGCGCCCCGCCCAGCTGCGAGCTGCGGGAGAGCCATAATTCTGGGGGTGGAAACCCCGGGGATGGTTCTGTCCTGTCCCCGGGGGTCTCGTTTAGTAAACGAGACCCCGGGGATGTGATCATTTTGTCCCCGGGGTCTCGTTTTTTATACGAGACCCCTGGGATGGGCATGTTTTGTCCCCGGGGTCGCGTATAAAAAACGAGACTGGCAGGTCTCGTTTACCGGCTCCCGGGTGGAGCAGAGGTTTCCGCGAGCGGACAAGACAGAGATGCAGAAACGAGAGCGGAATGAACAACATTCTGACCTAAAGCTCCAACACGGCAAAACATACGAGACCCCGGGGATGGGCATGTTTAGTCCCCGGGGTCGCGTATAAAAAACGAGACTGGCAGGTCTCGTTTACCGGCTCCCGGGTGGAGCAGAGGTTTCGGCGAGCGGACAAGACAGAGATGCAGAAACGAGAGCGGAATGGAATGAACAACATTCTGACCTAAAGCTCCAACACGGCAAACATCTTTTGGCATCGAGGTAAAGGCCAACCTTCCGTGTATGTTGCACGCATACGCATTTTCATACCTCGCCCAACTCACTCACTGTTGCCCGCCCTCTTATAGATCGACCCATCTTACTACTTGCTGTCCTCCATCTCCCCAGAACCCGTCGCCTGACGGCCGCTGTGTGCGGATACATCATCTCTTGCCCTCTCCCCCCGCTGCTGCTGCTCCGGATCCCGACCGATTTTTAGACCCAGCAGCAGGCGACGTGTGATGATGCGTTTCTTCGCGTGTCTAGCCGCGTTGGTCGGCACCAAGGTGGTGTCCTCGCACCCTCTCTGTTTTTTCGACGACAGACAGCCGGATTATGACCAGGTATTGCCTCCAGTTATATGTAGTTCCATATTCGACACAACAAGAATCACCCGCTCGAGATTACCACGACTGTCACCACACGCGCTCTGTTGCAGATTGCATCTATTGCTGTACCTTTGCATCGCACTTCCAAACTGTTTTCCGTCGGCACGACAAACAGGTCTTGACTTTCTGCGACAACTCGATCACGTCGTACGGTGCCTGCTGCACGGACGATGAGGAAGCCCTAGTGATGGCCAACTTCAGCGCAGTGACGCCGGAAGGGGTGGAGCTTACCGGGGATTGCTCTGATCTCTACAAGCAGGTGGGGGTTGACAAATTGATCGTGTTGTCTTGTCTCATGTCTGGTCTCACTACACATGTGTTTCGCGCAGGTGGTTTTTTTAATGGCTTCTGCATGAAAAATGGTCCGACATCTCACATCTATGTGTGAACATCAAAGTCTCTCGCGGTCTCTTACACCAGGCCCATCTTTTTTCACTCGCGAGTGTTGTATTGAGGTGATAAAGATTCGCGTAGCCTGGCGCGAAGATTATGAGGACGGGGGTTTTGCTGTTTGGTGCCAATCCATCACATCCTGCTTCTCTGGAGAGGCTTGGATATCGTATCGACTTGTCGTCGTCGATACAGTATTCGGGTTTCGAAAAATTAGCCGTTCACCAAGCTACAGCAGTATTTGATACTTCGATATTTCCCTATCGATACGAGAGGGAAGAGATTGCTGCCCCCTTCTCGCATTAAAGTTGAAGGCAAACCTCAGGGAGAGGAACCCTTCACGGTCGGAGTGAACGGCACAAACATGTGCTTGTGCGCGCTGATTATTTGACAAATATCGGAAAGAAAATCACTCTCGTAGACCCCGCAGCTGCACACCACACAGCAACACACAGCACAACACACAGCACAGCTTCACGACGTCAAGAAGGCCACGAAATGTAGGTAGCAGCTACTCTTCTCATTGTGAGAGCTTGACCGCTTTCTGCGACAAGCTTGCCTTTCGTGGTGTGTGTGCTATTACCGCTGAGCTCTATTGCAGAAGCCCTAGCGCTGAGCTTTGAAGCAATAGTAGTAGTCTAGATAGATACGATTGGAACGCTTGCTTCCCCGAATTCATATTAATAGTATTACTCCAGTAGTCTACATACTATCTTGGCAGACAGTTGGCAGACCCCCAGTTTGGGGTTTTGACGTAATTAGGTTTTCGTCCATGGACCGCCCATGGACCGTTCATGACCCGGTCATGGCCCAACCATGGACCGTCCATGGACCGTTTATGACCCAGCCATGACATGGCCACGACCCGGCCATGGCCCGGCCATGAACTGTACATGACCCGTCCATGGACCGTTTATAACCCGGCCATGACTCGGCCATGGATCCTTTATGACCAAACCATGACCGGTCCATGGTCCATGGACGGGTCATAAACGGGCCATAAACGGGTCATGGCTGATCCATGGACGAGGCATAAACGGTCCATCGCCGGGGTCATAAACGGTCCATGGACCATCGGGTCATGGGCGGGTGATTGACCGGTCATGGCCCGTCCTTGACCCGGTCATGACCCGGCCATGGCCTTAGGTCATGACCGGGCCATGGGATCATGGGGGGCAATGGCCCGCCCATGGACGGTCCATGGACGAAAACCCCAAAAACGTCAAGACCCCCTGGCCTATTTTACGGTGATTTTGATGTGAAGTGAAGCGAGTTGCTCCAATTTGTTTGCCTCCGGTGGCGCCTACTGCGGGACCCCTCACCAGGGGAGGG